ACCGAAATGGTCAATGCAGATAATAGATGCGACAAAAATATCTGGAAATACATTTTATACATGTACCAAAGTTTAAAATAATCAGAAACTAAAATCATTCGGGTCTGCTTATGTGCATGTCCATCATGTATTGATGGACACTCACGTTAGGCCAAACAATAACCTGGCAGATCACGATAGCTGAAAATACCGTAAACGCCAAGCAGATTCCACGTTTGTCATCCAGACGTTGAAGAGATTGCCGTTGGAAGAAGATAGATGGCTAGTATTCGATAGCTAAAATAAGAAAGCATTTTCATTCTTCTAGGGCAACATAGAGGTGGTTATTCCTTTTTTTCTCTCCAAGACTATTGATTGCCAATGTTCCAAGGAATTAAACTTGGAACAAAACCAGCATAACAGATAATGTGATATTTCTGTGTCCCTTGCAAGCACGGGCTTACAGGCGAACAAATCTCTTCCGACAGTGTTAGCAAAGGCTAGATAATATGGGAAGATATGTTAAGGAGAGTTCTTTTGGGACCAAAAATAAAGTAATTATCCACACGATTAACATGATAAAAATATAAAGAAGTAATTACAATTTCCGAGATTGGGTAGAATGAAAGAAATTTGAGCTTTATACTTGAAAGAAGTAAGATAGTAAGATGGGCTCTAAATAAAGTCATCGGAATCGTAGCCGTCAGCATTAGATCGCATTTTTTCCTGTGTGAAAATGCGATCGTAGGAACGGCGCTCTGCCTCCTCCTCACGAACTTTAGCCGCCTCTCGTTCAACTCGTTGCCTGGCTATTTGAACTTGGCGCTCACGATCCCGGATCCTTTTGTCTCTGGCCTCACGCTCGACTCGTAAATCTGGCTTCTCAACAACCTGACGAGTCTTATCAAGTCGTTTGATAGTCTCGCCGATCCGGCGCTCAACACACAATTTACGCACTTGATGGTTATCATGAAAGCCAACTTGTCCAACGGCCATGTGATTTAACTTTCGTAGATTACTCCACATTGTATAAACGACATCTACATCATTTTGTTTAGATCCCTGTCAATAAGTAATATAAGAGGTTTGGGTGAGCGAATAATAACGTTTTAGGCGTTAAAAGCAATAAGAAAAAATATTGCGAGGAAAATGCATGGGAAGACTGAAAAATAAGATTCACTATAGCCGATAGCGAATAATGCTGGAAATCTCAATAAACAGTTAGATTTAAAATAAGTGCGATTGTAAAGTCAATCGCTAAGTAAACATAAATATTGTTCAAAAAATTGATAGTTGTTAAGTCATTAACTAACTAAGGTGTTGTCGCATATTATTTTAAATAAAAAAGTAAAAAACAAGCAAATCTTGTGTCGTCAACATTTGGCAAGCAGACGTTGCATGTGAAGCATGGGAATACAGTTATAAAAATTAGCCTAAAAGGATCGATGATCCCGAATACTAGCAATTAATATAGCATTAAGAACAATTAATGAAGGAGAGTTGACAAATGCAAAAATATTGGAGACTAAACGATATGCAACGGACTTAGCGCACAAGTACCTAAAATTATTAACAGCTGAACAGTAAATCTTCTAGTCAAAATAGAAAACAACTTATAAAGCTGAAAGAAGTACCTGTATACTATTCGCTTTAACAAGTTGGGCGCAATCTTGGATTACAGTTTCGGGGACATCGTCAAGGCTTTCACCATCCCTAAGCCTCAGGTAAACATGTGCGGAGGAGAATTTATCTACATGGAACCACACATCTTCGGGCCACCCCCATCTAATAAGTTCATCATTCTCAGCTTTATCAGACCCCATGTATATGAGATAGGGAGGAGAAACTAACTCACACCTGAAGAGAACGACCATTTCGGAAGAGGAGCGGTGGAGACCACAGGGTGGTCGGTGGAACAAACAACTGATTACGCTTACCTAATAGTTAACAGAAGGCATTAATAAATAAGATACCATAATAAAAAATTTTGTCATAAGATGTTTAAAGTTTGTCGGTGATCAAGAGGTGCTTGGTTTGTGTCACTCCTCTCGCCGTGCTTTCGCCGCTATCCTTGTCTTGCCTCCCTCAGAAGTATGAACAAATATCCCGACAATGTTGGGATACTTGCTATAGAGGTGTATTTTCCCCGCCTGTTTATCGAGCAAATTGACCTCGAAAAGTTTGATGGATGCGTAGGAAAGTATACAAAAGGTTTTGGGCAGAAACGAATGAGCTTCTGCACTACTGAGGAGGATGTAAATTCGCTGGCATTAACAGTGACACAAAATTTAATTGATAAAATTAATCTGGACCTACGCCTTGTCGGGTTTCTGGAGGTGGGCGTTTATTTTGTTTATGCCGTTCAAAGGTTGGCTCAGAGACAATCATTGATAAATCCAAATCCGTCAAATCTGTATTGATGCAACTTTTTGAGTCGTCCGGTAACCATGATGTATGTGGTGCTGATGTCAAAAATGCTTGTTTTGGGGGAACAGCAGCGTTGTTCAATGCCGTGAATTGGATAGAATCGCGTTCATGGGATGGTTAGTCGGAAACCACATTTATTGTCTCTTAACATTTTATTACTCACTCTATATATTAATTAATGTCGTTCCGTTATATCAACTACTTTTACATACTATTTGACGGAACCTAAATCGATGTTCTTGCTTCAAACTCATTTCTGGGTCAAGTAGTACTGCCAAGAAGGCATTACTTCTGATATTTTATGTTTCCCATTTCATTATACGATTTCTAAAATAATTTAATGTATTAAACAAGAGAT